CGGTTTTCGACTTCACTTTTTTTTTTTCGAGACAGTGTTTCTCTGTATTGCTTTGGAGGCTGTCCTGGAACTCGTTCTGTAGACCAGGCTGGCTTCGAACTCACAGATATCTGCTGCCTCTGCCTCCCGAGTGCTGGGATTAAAGGCGTGCGCCACTAATGCCCAACTCTAGACTTCACTCTTTGTTTTTGAAATGTTGGCAGGATTAAGTTGGCTGCTGCAGCAGCACAAGGTGAATAGCAATGACCAAGACTAAGTGTGTCAGAGTCAGCTCAGAAGACAAGACATAATCTCAGGCTTGTTCTCTCCAAGACTTTGGGAATAGGACTTACTGGTAGGATTCTGGAAGTGGTCAGGGTACACAGGGATGGGAGTGTACATTTTAAAAAATATGATGTCTTGAGGGGTATGAGGCTCAAGGTGACTGATGTCAACAGTGGGACACCAGTGACAAGAACAGGTTTAAGAATTTAAAACCAGCTGGGTGCCAGCACTTAGGAGGCAGATCTCTGTGAGTTCAAGGCCAGCCTGGTCTGCAGAGGGAGTTCCAGGACAGCTAGGGGTGATTACATAGAGAAGAGAAACCCTGTCTTGAAAAACAAAATAAAAAGGAAAAAAGAATTTAAAACTAACCTATATATATTGCCGGGCGGTGGTGGCGCACGCCTTTAATCCCAGCACTCGGGAGGCAGAGGCAGGAGGATCTCTGTGAGTTCAAGGCGAGGCTGGACTGACAGCCTCCAAAACAATACAGACAAACCCTGTCTCGTAAAACCAAAAAAAAAAAAAAAAAAACCCAAAACCAAACCAAAACAAAACAACAAAAAAAACTAACCTATATATCACCCCAAGGATCTTACCTTCATTCTACAGCAAGAAGTCTCCTTTAGAACCAAGACTCAAGCAGGAGTTTAGTGTTCTCCATACACATGTCAGGTCTTTCCTGAGCTATCCTGACTCTACAAACTTGGGCATGCTGAGACTGTCCCAGTTTATCTGTGGTCTGGTGTAACACACCACATTATCTTCTCGTTTCTACTATAGTCTTCCTCCCTACCTTCCTAATGAAGCACATTACCTGTCCCTCACCCTACTTATTGTTAGTTTCTTAGTATCTAAAAAAAAATTATTTGTGTTATTTTAAATAATATGCGTATGGGTTTGTGCATGCAAGTGAAGAGGTTCACAGAGGCTAGACATCAGATCCTGTGAACTTGTAGCTACAGTCAGTTGTGAGCGCCTGTTGTGGATGCTGGGAACCAAACGTGGGTCCTCTTCAAGAATAGTATGTGGAAGCCAGGAGGTAGTGGTGCACACCTTGAATGCCAGCACTCAGGAGGTAGAAGCAGGCAGACCTCTGTGAGTTCGAAGCCAGCCTGGTCTACAAAGGAGTTCCAGGATGGGCTCCAAAGCTACACAGAGAAACCCTGCCTCAAAACCCAAAAAAAACAGTACATGGTCTAACTGTTGAGCCACTTCCCCAGCTCTCGGCTTCTCATTACTCTGGCTCAGTTCTGTATCTCAATGTTTGGTTGGCCCTGTGGGGACCAGGTCTTTTAACATGAGCATCATTAGGGATGTTGAAGATCCAAACTTCAGCAGCTGTCCTCATTTCCTACTTGTCCTAGGGATCTATGACTGGGTGGAACCATCAGGTGTCCCTCTAAGGTCTCTGCCAGGACTGATCTTGTGACCCAACCAGAAGCTTCTTCAGCCAGTGTTTGTTAGTTTCAAATGCATCAGAACCTTTTTCTAAAAAAACAGAAAAACTGCACACCAAGTCCAAAAGTCACCCCTCAGGTCCCAGACTGTCAATCTCTCACTGATTCAGGGCAGACCATGACCAGGGCCAACAGAACTTGTTGAGCACAAATGGGACTCAGAGGGAACATGTTCCCAGAAGCATCATTCAGGATATACAAATGTCAGAGCACAGATGAAAATGGAATGCAAAGCTAGGTAGCCCATGCCTTTAATCCCAGGCAGAGGCAGGCAGATCAAGGCCAGTCTTGTCTATAGAGCAAGTTCCAGGGTAGCCAGGGCTGTTATGCAAAGAAACCCTGTCCTGAGAAAAACAAAAAGAGAATGGAATGCAAAAGTTCACCTACACAAGAATTGCAAATGTAGTTAGTTGCCTTATTCAGAAAACAGGTTTCACCCACCTCCGCCCAGATGGAAACTTTAGTCTCATCCTCACTGGCACTAAGGGTTCAGTCAGAACAAGTAAGAATGGGCTCATAGACATGTCCAAGGGTCCAAGCAGATGACAGAAATGATATACACAGAATGAGTGCTACCAACATTTTAAGATTAAATTTTGTATGAACATCTACTCTACAGCACAAGGACAGCTAATCCCAAACTCTAATACTACCGAACTCATATACCACACAGGAAACACGGGGTCCTGTTATAAAGTGATTTTATTAAATTGATTTAGACATACTGTAGGTCAAATAATATTTTCTGAAGATAACAATTATGGACTTTAAAGCTTGACATAAAATTAGTAGCTTCAAAAGTGTTAGTTGTATTCCCCAGCAACAGCATGATAAAATAATTCAACTATGTAGAAATATAGAACTCTAGGACTACCTGGAAATTGGGAAATCATTTAGTCCAGTGTCCTCATTCTGTGAGAAAACTAGACCTGAAAATTAAGCGATTTGCCCAAGCTTACATACCTAATAGTAATAAAGCTAGAAATTAAACCAATTTTTCCTAAAACTAAAATTCTATTGATGATATTTCAACTGGCTCTCTATCAACTAAAAGTCTAGGCTTTTCTCTAATGCTCCACGCTGTGGTGACATTGAAGTCTAAGACACAGTACATTGCTATGGTGGCTGTGAGGCCTGGAAGGGGCTTTATTAGCCAATAGCCCTCTCTGGAGAGGGGGAAGGCAGTGACCAGCGGGCCAGAGGCTTGCCTGAAGATGTCTGCATTGAAATGCATGGTAACAGATTCGTCCCTAAACCCTACTCACTGACTGTGTGCTCCTATGAAGCCTCTGTGCATCAAGGCTTCAGTTTTACAAAAGCCTCTTCCAGCCGAACATCTAAAGAGAAAAAAAAAAAAAAAACCTGCAGAGAAAAACCAAACAGTCTCTATTTCTGACTATCTGGGAAGTTCTTTTTCCAGCCTTAAATGGCTGGCAGAAGCCACCAAGCCAGTCACCCACTTCAGACTTACAGGTCACTAGTTTCCCAAAGACTTCCTGAGCAAATGACTGCATGTGGGAGACCAAGAACGGGAATGAGAAGGAAACGGAAATGGAAGCTTTGTGTTGGTGTCACTGGGGACTTTTGGTCTTCTCAACATCCCTTGAGTTCCCCAGAGTTTTAGCATCAGTCAATAGAAACAAAGCAAACACAACAGGCCCATAAATGCTAGCCACTAAGCTCATGGCTCAGTGCCTCCCCTCCCCGCAAACTACCTCCAGCACCTGCATCTCGTCCCCAGAGCCAGCAGCACCTGTGCTGTGCACTGTCATTGCTCCCTTCACATGGCCCCAGCACCTTCAGCGCAGAGTTCCTGACCCTTGCTACCTGGCCCCCCAACCCCCTCTACATACCACCCTAGTTTATTTCTCATAGCACTTAATCACTACTGAAAACTACATTATTTATGTGTTAACTTGCTTATCCCGTTTCCTCCAGAGGTGAATTTCATGATCCAGTGGCATTCCCAGCACCCAGTACATGTCCAACACCCAGGAGGCATTCAATAAATACTCAGTGAATGATGATGGATTAGCCAATACACACTCATGCCGAAAAAGAACTGTATGTGATCCATGATGACACCTACACATTATTGCCTGAGATGACAGATTCATCCTCAGTGACTCCCCAGTTAGCCCTCCCAAGGCCTCCCCAGCTGGTAGGTAACCCCACCACTTATAAATGGGGCCCAAGAGGGTCACTCTTGAAGCAGACAAGCTCAGTTTGCTTGCTTCTTCCTCCCTGATATATACATTCAGCTACTTAAAAAACAAATTTCAAGTTAAAGCATGTGACGCAGCCACTAGAAAATAAGTCTAACTTAGAGACACAGTGATTAGCAGAGTTCACAAACAAAAGTTCCAGAGCATGTACATCTGCCAGTGATTTTCTGATCGGCTGAGTGAGTGCTTATCATGACTCTCCTAAAATCTAAAATGAATTTTAATGCCATCTAGGAAGGGGTAGGTGTTTATAAGTACTCTGAGGACATGAGGTAAGGTGGATTCAGAAATAACGGGATATATGGAAAGCTATGTCAGGGTTGAGTCAAGTGGAAACCTCAGAAATACCAGGACTTGGCCTTCAAGGGAGCTGTCCATCTTTAAATGCACTGACCGGTAGATAGGCTTGAATAGAGGAAGGAGCATGTGCTCCAAAAGGGGTATCTGGCATTGCCTGGAAGCACAGCACAGATGAGTTTCGAAATTATTTCAACTGCTGAGGCTTGTTGCCAGAATTCCAGGAAACACTATACCTGTAACAGGGACACAATACTCCATCTTGGGCACAAAAAATTCCAAATTCAGAAAAACACAACCTCACCTAAACCTTCTCAGAATGTTCTGGGGACTGCTGTAGATGTTCCCAGGGTCAACGTAGGTGGATTTGAGGTTTCCTTCCTAGTGGCACTTACGGGTTTAAGATTTTTAATTCTTAGCAAAACATCTTTATATAACTGATATTTTGAGATGGTTTCTCTCCTTGGTGTGTACTCTCTGGTGGATGCAAAGGCTTGTACTCTGGCTGAAGGCCTTGCCACACTCATCACACTTAAAAGGTTTCTCTCCCGTGTGCACTCTCTGGTGGATGCAGAGGCTGGAACTCTGACTGAAGGCCTTCCCACACCCACAACACCTATAGGGCTTCTCCCCTGTGTGCACTCTCTGGTGGATGCAGAGGCTGGAGCTCTGACTAAAGGCCTTCCCACACTCGTAACATTTATAGGGCTTCTCTCCAGTGTGGACTCTTTGATGCATGCAGAGGCTGGAGGTGTGCCTGAAGGCTTTCCCACACTCTTCACATTTGAAGGGCTTCTCCCCAGTGTGGACTCTCTGGTGCATACAAAGGTTAGAACTATTACTGAAACCCCTCCCACACTCACTGCAGACATACGGCTTCTCACCAGTGTGGACTCTCATGTGGATTTGAAGATGGGAGCTCCAGTTGAAGGCTTTGCCACACTCATAGCATTTATAGGGCTTTTCCACAGTGTGGATTTTCTTATGTCTATTAAGTTTTGTTGTCGTGCTAAAATCCTTACCACAATCATCACATTTATAGACCTTCTCTCCTGTGTGGTCTCGCCAATGAATATGAAGTTCTGATATGTGAAAGAAACCCTTATCACACTTGTCACATTTATGGGGTTTCTCTGCTGTGTGGATTTTCTGGTGCATAAAAAGATCTGCTCTCTCAGAGAAAAATTCCCTGCACATGGGGCACTTGTAGATCATTTTTCCTATTTGGTATCGTGACTTAGAGAAGAAAGTGTCCTTATAACTCTGAGTTCCAGGACTGCTACTTCATAAAGCGTCTTATTTTGCCATCTTGGCAGTCTATCTCAGGCCTGCTCTATTGGGCAAGCTTACCATCAGCCTCAGCTTCTCCCTGCCTGTCTTTCTGTGGAAGGCTTCTTCCTGCATAGTGTTCCTCACTCAGCTCTTACTGATTACGAAGTCGCACTGGCTTTCATATGAATCCCATAGCTCCTCAGCACAGAGCTTTCTTTCCTTTAGATCCCTTGTAGTCAACATTCCAGGGGCAGGAAAGAGTAAGCCTCTGTTTTGAGACCCTGGATTCTTTCTGATGTGCAGTACTCTTCTACTTTTCACCCATAAAACAAAGCCTGTGTAGTGATCTGTCTGCCCAGGGCAGAAGGTGCCAGCTGATGGTGAGCCCCGGTAGCTCTCCAAAAAGAGTCAGAATGTCGCTCTGCCTCCTGCCCATCAGATGGCAGGCCTTGACAGCATGAAGGTTCCTTGGCTCCAGGCACAGCCAGTCTTGCTCCTGGGGACTCTATACAGTAGCACGCTGGTTTTCTGTAATACAAACAATAAACAACATACAACATCCTTTCTGTCCAGAAACATCCATTGATCTCAGGATTAATGTTACTTAAATGAAACAGAGGGAGTATGGGGGAATGACCACACACACACACACACCTTTTTTTGATCCCGAAGAGGCAGCTCTTGTCTTCCAGAGACACGTCTCTTGGACTTGCAGGTCTGAGAAGAGAATTTGAAGATATCATCCTCCTGTTCTAAGCCAAGTACGTGATCAATTATAGCAGCTCATCAATTATCTGAACATCAAGGAGAGAATCTGACAGAAAAGAACTCCTCCCAATACTCATAAGCAAGTTCAAAGAATAGCTATCCTGCAGAAGAATAAGAAAAAGTATCTCTGCTTTGAAAGACTGACCCCACATTCGAGAAAGAAGACACAACATTCCCTGGCTGAACCATCCTCAATGTCTTCCTGGCATACTAATAACATGTGATCCTTACCCTGGCACTGAGGCCCTTCATGGCCTGTCTGATCTTCTCTGCTTTCTGTACTTGGCTCTCCTCTTCAGTTCTCACACAACCCAACCACAGCCTGCCTTACAACCTTTCCATACTGTTCCCAGGGCTGGATCCACTCTCCCATGTGGCTATGTCAGTTCGCTAAGTAAAGGAGGTCCCTAGCAGAATTCAACGTTAACCTTATTTGGTTTCTTCAAAGCACATACAACTTGTAATTATCTTGTTTCCCTGGCCTTTGACCCCCCTGTACTGGGATGTAAGTACTGAGGAAAGAACTCAGCATGCTGCTTACTATCACACTCTGGCAGTTAGTGCTTCCTAAGTCCATGATCCTTTAGGACCCCTGCTCATACCCCACTGGGGCTGCCTCATTCTAGAGAGCAGATGGGGAAACATTCGCCATTGCTTTATTTCAGGCTTTTGACAGTCACAGTGAACAAAAATAGAATGATGAGGAGGGGACAAAAGAAACAAAATTCCCAAATCACCCACTGGAAATTATCTGAGGCTATGTCAGCAATCTTTTTCATCTCAGACATTTTATACAGTGTTACATCAATTAATGAATAAAAGGGTACAGTTGGCCTGCCCCCCCCCGTGTGTGTATGTGTGTGTGTGTGTGTGTGTGTGTGTGTGTACATGTGACACGACACACACGAAGTCAGAGAAAACCTCAAGAGTTAGTCCTTACTTTCCACCTTGTTTGAGATAGTCTTGTTTTGTCATTGTGAGCTGTCAGGTATAGTTGGCCTGCCCCCCCCCTGCACCCTTGGCTTCTTGCTGCAGACAGGGTAACTGCCTATATAGCCTGGCTCAGGTTTCTCTGCCTGCTCCCTGGCAACTTACTGAAACAGAACAGAGGTTCAGGTTGGTCTGGGACATTGTCCACTGTCTTATTATGAGGATCTTGTGGTCATAACACCTTGACCCAGAGCAAGCCAGTTGATTTTTGCCATCTCTCTGTTGACATTTTGGTCACCATGTACCCTGTATGTGTATGGAGCAATTGTTAAGAGTCATTTTAGGGGCTGTAGAAATGTGTCAGTGGTTAAGCACTCTTTTTGCACATAGCTCCCAACCACCTGTAACTCTAACTTCAGAGAGTCTGACATCTTTAACTTTTACACACACACACACACAGCCATAAAATAAATAACCCTTTTTAAAAATCTGTTGTTTTATATGGAGGCTTTTAAGGGTTGTGGAGGTGGCTCAGTAGGTAAAAGCAGATGCTGTTCAAAAGCACAAGGACTCAAGTTTGAATCTGCAGAACCTTGGTTGAGCTGAGCATATTAGTGTGTGTCTATGTGTCTGTAATCCCAGCACTCATACAGTGAAATGGGAGGTGAAGACAGAAGACTCCCTACAAGCTCCCAAGCCAGCAACTGGCCTTCCTCTGAGCCAACACCAAACCCAATTTTTAGGAAAACAAAACGAAAAGACAAAAAAGGAAGTGAAATTTCAGAAAATGTACTAGAGAACCAGCCAAAGGCCTAAATACTAGGCAAAGCTTCGCAGATTAGACCCTCACAGACAAAGGCGTGGCTCAGTGACGTACCAGGATTCCAGTAGCAGTAAGCTCCAGTGCCCAGTAGGACCTACTTGGTGTGCTTGCCTGTTCAAGCTGACCTCACACTGAGGTGACATTGAGGACTGGTGCCATGAGGCAACAAGTCAAAAACCAATCTTAAATGCCAGAAAAGGATACCAAGAAGAGAGGCTCTAGATTGTGGTACTGCAAAGGGGACTCTGACGCTAGGATATAGACAGGACAGGTGGGATGTGGAACGGGGTGATGGCAGATGTCCCTCAGAGGCTGTCAGGCCACAAAGCTGCATGTGGCTCCTTCACAAGCTTACGAGCTTCAGTTCCTAGCTACAAGGAAGGAAGATCAGGAGAAGAGAACAGAACAAGCAGATACTCCAAATGAGCCCTCGTCTGAGGCAGAACTTGAGAGACAGACCCTCTACTAAGATAAAAAGTTCAGAGTCAGGCTGGGGAGGAAGGACTAGTAGCAGCACTGGAAACATAGCTTCCTTTAATGTTCCCTGGTACACGCACAGTTGACCAGAAGGTTTAAGTTTATTGATTGAAAAAGGTGAGCTCTTGAATTTCTGGGGATTTCTCTACATGGACCCATAATTTCCATCCAGTAATGCAGAGCAAGGTGCACAGTCTCCACAGAGCAGCAGCTGGGGTGGCGGCACACCGTGGGGTAGGGACCAGGAGAATGTAGGTGCCAACACTGGATGCCAGTTCTCTGAGGTGGAAGCAGAGGATGGTAGGTTATAACTATGCTGTATGTACATGGACAACTCTGTAGGGGGCCCCAACTAAACTCCTGGAAAGCTGCAGTCACACACAGTCAGCCACTGTGAAACAGGCAGCGGTCAGGACTTCCAAACAGGCACACAGCTGTCTCCACTGGCTGAGAAGAAACAAGAAACTCATTGGTTGAACTTGCCCAACCTGGCTAGCCACTAGGTAAGGGTAGCAGAATGGCACCCTGGGAAATAACTCTTGGAAGATCATAGGAAGATGTGTGCAGAGCAGCTGGGGGCTGACGGTATTTGGAATAGGGGTGTGAAAATGATGGTTTTCCACAGATGGGAAACTGAGTGAAATGCATATATTGAATGAAATGAAAAGGATTTAGACATGTCCTCCTCAGCACCAGACCCGGCATACAGGTCCCAACATGATTTTGCATCTATTACAAATTGAGATGGAGCTAGCTCTGAGAGCTCAAGGCTATAGTACTCTGTGCTTTGTTCTATTAAAAAAGGACACCCATGTTCAGATTGCCAAGACCAATAGCAACTGGTAATCAGCAGTCACCACAGACTAGCTCTGGGAATGGCCAGAAACAAGAACATGCAGCAGGTAGGGTACTCAGGTTCCTAGGACTCCATTTGTTCCTTTGTTTAAATTCATTAGAAATTTTCATAAAAAGCCTGAGAGGCCTCTGCATATACAACTGCTGTGATAAGGGGTTCTAAAGCCCCAAGAAAGACATACAACAGCACTCTCACAACTCAGGTGAGTAATCCATGCGACCCAGTCACAGCATCCCACATCACAGAGAGGCTAAGGCTAGCCTGTGTGTCTGCCATGAGGACTGAACTGTCCTTTGCCCACAAATACCCCCATCCCAGCATTTTGCCTAGCGAACACCATGGAGTCTTCCCTACTCACAGCATCTCCAGTCCTACCGCTGAGATATTGGCTGACTCCTTCCCACTTGCCATTCTAGCTCAGCTCCCACAGTGCCCCTGCTCTGCCACCGCACCGATTGTGGCACCCAGGCTCTGTCTTTACCAGAAACTCTGTTCTAAAACTCACGCTAATCAACCTTCCTGGGGTCACCATTCTTTCACACCTGATGCAGACTCCAACTCAACCACTAACTGCTGACTTTCATGCCATTCTGAACAATGTCCCAGTCTTTCTGAAATTAGCTCTCTACTTATCTGGACAAGATCCTGAGCACTGAAACGGTGCCATCAGACTTCATCCGGATCATAAATCTCAAAAGGACACTTAGCCCCTCCCTATTTTTCTGAAAGTTCCAGATTTACACTCACTCAGTATTTAATTTCTTTTCAAGTTCCCCATGAGCCTAGGACAAGGATCTCTGCTAGCATCCAGGCTGTTCTCCTCTATTTCGACACTCAGGTTTATCTCCTCTATGGGTTCTATGGAATGTGTTCCTGTCTGGTCTGTAGAAGGATTTCTTCAACCCTAACAGTTGTCAGCCAAGACCCAGCAGAAGTCCCCAAAGAGCTCTGAACTCAGGATGCTCTAGGTTGTCACCTCCCACATGGAATAGTTCCGTTCCCACAGCCTTGTCATGACTGACCAGGTCTAAGATACTTCTGCAAACAGCCTCTCTCTACTGACTGCCAACCCTCACCTGCTTTCCTGCCAGCTCGGTTCACCAAGTCCCTTCTGTCCCAGGTTTCCTTCTCTTTAGCTTATATGGCCTGACACCCTGTAATAATCAAGTTCTAACTGCAGTCCTTCGTACTCCCCAGACATAGCTCTTCCAAACACAATGCTGGGACTGTCCTTCCTCATTCCTCCCCACCTAAATCCTCAGCTTTACCTTACAAGACACAACAAGGCAGGAAGAAAGGCTAGCACTGGCTGTTCTAACAGGAGAAAATTTCACCAGTGGATCTACCTCCAGGGCTCAGTCACTCAGGTGCTAGGGGAGAAATGCTGATTGCTGGCTTTCTGCAAGATGGGGTTTTCTAACAGACACATCAAATGTCTGCCCATCCAGATCTCTGCCTTCTCACACGGATATAGGCCATGACCTGGTTTCCACTGTTCTGAGCCTCCCACCTGCTGGGAATGTATGTGGTTTCTGCCAAACTTGGCAAGCAGCTACCACACCATCTACATGTATCCCCTCAGACCTGCAGCCAGTTCACTTTGCACATGTCCAGAGAATAATGACTTAACACAGGATGTGAACATATGTGTACCCCCCCCCACTGTCCTCTTTCCCTCCTTCTGCAAGTGAAATGCCGCAATTCTACCTGAGATCCACATTCCCCCAAGGACATCTGAAATGGAACTGTTCAGAAACATCTGCAGTTCTTTGAAGACAATGACCCTATTACTCAAAAGTCAAGTAAAATGATGCTTTTAAGGAACCTAAAAGCACTGCAAGCTCTCTGCAGCTCTCTAAGATA